GTCCACAAAGCCTTATGTAAGAGTTCTTCTGCCTAAAACAGAAGTGCGATCAGGAAATTTGCTTGCACAGATTTTATTTGCTCTGATAGTAAGAGCAAAGAAAAACACTCTGGCATTTATTAAGCCTACTCTACACTTACTACCATCTAAAATGTTTGAGCAAAGTTTTCAAAAATAACTCAGTTCTTGGCACCAGATAGCACCATTTTCTCTACAATCTCCTTCAACTTTTAACTGAAATGTTATGGAGAATTCTAAAGCACAAAATGAAGTCACAAGTTTGAGCAGGAAAGAGGATTCACAAAAATGCCAGGTAAATAAAAAACACTTCCACAATTGGTTACTTTATTTATTCTATAAGTAAACTCGGAAAAATGAGGTCTGATACCTCTTTAACATAATACAGAGCAGTCTACTCTTCTAAAAAATGAAATTCTTTCATTCTTCCAAGAAACACAGATACCTCATATAATGAATCAAAATTTAATTCTGATTTCCATACCATCATTAAAAAATTATCCTAATTCAAGAAGTTTCTCGAATGTCTTTCTAAAATGATACTACCCTATATGCAAGAGAGGGGAGAAACACAGGGATCTGCTTTTAAACAATTTGGATATATTTCTTTACTTATTTTAGTCTCCAACAAAATATCTGGAAGTGAAGACTTTTCAAGATTGTTAATTCATTAGTAAAACGTTTTCAAATAAATATTCCTGAGACTACTAAACTTTATGGAAGCAGTGATCCTTTGTAGGCAACACAAACACACCTACCAAGTCAAGATAATCACCCTGCCAACTTCTCAAAAGAACAATATTTTAACACGCCCCAAAGCTGGCAAAGTGCCTGCCGGGGGGCAGTCACAATGAAGGCTGGGTTCTCGTAAGGGTGTGCAGGATTGCTCTGACCTTTAGCTTTAGTGAAAGGCTTGTGTACTAAGTTGTCCAAAGTGGCAAAACCCAAACCCAAACCAAAAACCATGGCAAGTTTACAGAATATTTAGAAATTGGTCTAAAGAATAAATTCTAAAGCAGAAAATCTGGGAGGCTGTCAGTTTTCAAAAGCCTCTCACACACGCTCTACCAGATACAACTCTGCAGCAGAGGAAGCAAGCACACTAATCACAAATACGGAAAGAAGGCAACAACCTGACACAACCATTGATGTGATACTGAAAACAGACAGTATTAGAGACTGCAAGGTCATGGTTTTCATGTCAGCATCTTGATTACTCTGATGAATATCCTTTTTCCCCCTTTTGGGGGCAATAATTAGAATTAAGAGAGTAGGAAGATAGTGACTTTCTTACAGTAAAAAGACATATAGGAACGTAAGGATAAGGGAACAGTTAGAAAAAAAAACAAAACACAATCAATTTCTTTATTGTTCTTTTAATTTCTTTCTATCCCTTTGAAAAAATAAAAGTCAGACTGAAGGAAAGAGCACTTTTTGCTTTTGCTGAAAAAGATGGAACGTAGCACAGCTACAGGTAAGACAAATCAACCTTTAACGGAAGTAGAAAATGTTGACAGAAAAGGTATAAGGAGGCAGAATTTGGCTATTTCTAAATAATAATTTTGTTAAAATAAATGTATTTTTATATTCCTAATATATTGAAAAGGTCTTAGACATAACAATAGCTTTGTTACTATAATTTTTCTCATTATAGTTCAAGTTTTAAACATTTCAAATTTGATGGTTTTAAAAATCATGCTCAAAGAGACACCATTTTCTAAGTTGCTCTAAGAAAATATAAATTGCTACACACACTACTATAAGCACAAATCACTCAGTTTTGATAAAGCATATTTTTACTAAGACAGTAAGGCAGTATTTTCATATCCTGTGTATTCTGGCCTACACTTGCACAGAATACTGAAAGTTGCTGAAGTTCTATTATGTAATTTTAACTGCATTTCACATTTTATATATATACATCATATATTTATTAGTGACCGCATAAAACGTAATTTTTCAGTTGGTCCAAATTGCAGAAATAGCAAGAATGGTTTACACAGGACAAGGGAACACAGTCTTGCATGTGGGGTGACACACTGCCCTCTGGTGTCATTTTAGCTCTAAACCCTTGACAATAGAATACATTTTAATTTTGTTTTGAAATATGACTCAATTTAGACTGAAAGTATTTCAAAGTAATATACAAAAGCAACCACCTCTACTTTATATCTAAAAAAAAAAAAATCTTAAAATATCTAGAAAAGATTGGCTCCAGGGACCATTGGCCACTCACAATAAAGCAAATGGGAGGAGAGGACTGAAGATCGCCAGCTCTCTGCAACACCTCTTTTAGTTTTCAGAACAAACACTGAAAGACTTCTCTCATGCTATTTGGGTGCCCTGCTTCTCCCAAGTGACAAGGAACACTGGAAATGTGTACAATAACCAGACGGGTCTTCAAACAGAGCCTAAAAAGTGCCTTTGGGAACACTGACAAATCACTGCTGTCACTCATTCAGTGAGCAGCCCCTGTGTGCTAACACACCCAGGGAAGGACCCTCTCCAGAAGGAAGAGAGTTCTTAGGATATATTTCCCTATAATGTTTTATCTCATCATGCCAACAGCCATATGGAACACCCTATGTCTTTGAAAGCCATTCACTTAGAGATGGGCTGGAGCACATTGTTGATCCAAGAATAACTAAAAAGTTAATTTAGCTCACAGTGTAGACGTGAACACCTCTACGTGGCATTCGTTATTTTATGTCAGGTAGTTTCACCTGGCTCTATCCAAATTTCTATGTGTCCATACGCGCTATGCAGTCCACATGAAGATTTATATTTAGTAATGTTTTATCAGATACTTTTTTCTGGTCTTCTGAAAACTAAAATAGCCATAATTTTTTTTTTTTTTT